TTAGGTCGTGGGCCTTATTTTTTGGATAGGCAGCAGTTTAATATGAAGCACAAAGAGCGAACTCGGGAGAAAGAGTTAGAGCGAGAGAGAGAGCGACAAAAGGGGTGAGGGAAGAAGCAGATACTGTCTCGGGTTTGCAAGCCAGAGCAGAGGCCACGTGCCCTGCAGGTTTCCGTCTGGTGGCAGAGCTCTGGACGGGGCAGGCCTTATAGGATCTCCTGTTCCGTCTATGGAACAGCCGACCACCTTGAGTTTGAACAATTAGCTGAACCGCAGGAACACGCGAGGCAATGGCAGAATCGGAGACAGAGCGAGCAGATGTCGTTACAACTGACCAATCAGAACGAGACGCAAAAGCTGATTCGTAGACGGCAGTCAACTTTTAACACAACGATTTAGTCTCTGCTTCTCTAGGCCGGAGGCCAGAGGTTTGTTTCACCATGGCAGGTGTCTATCTTGTGATCATTCCACTCCTCACCATCACACAACGACTAAGACGCAGGCCCAAGGGTTGATGAAGCGTGCCCACCTTGCCTGTCTTGATCGTTTGGCCGGTATGTCGAGTTGTCTGTTCTATACTGTCCGTAGGGCCCGCCCCCGCCAAGTCCGTATTGACATAGGCGCCCGCGCGTTAAACTCTCCAGCCTGCATCGTTGTGTCAACGACCAATAGCGCTCATCTCTTGTCTCAAAACCACTCACAAGGTTAGCAAAACTCGACGATTTTGGTTGGTCATACAATAGCCAGGTCATTCACACAGGAAAATGATGCCGAATCTAGAATCAGTTGGACAACTGAGCCGGTTTCCTAATTATGCCTCAGGATGCAATTAAATTTTCCTTCATCCCTGCCTCCAAAGAGGTATTTTCATCCAGGGCAGACTGTCACTTCATCCTCGCCTTGGCTCCTCCGCACCCTAAAATGAATTCGAACCCAAGTAGTGTTCATGATTTACATGTCAAGTCAAGTCTTCCTACATCACATTTATAAGAGGAATATATTTGAAGCAGATAGCATTTTTTAAATAAAGAGGCTGGTTTTCGAATAATCCTGTGATAATTTAAAGTTCATTTCGAAGGCTTAGTTGGTTATACGATATTCTGAAATTAGCCCCATCCGAAGCATTTGAGTCGAT